CCACTCCTGCATCTCAGGCCAGTCTAGTCCTGGAACAACACCCTCTTTCAAGCATGCAGAAAAAGTATTTTTGTGCTGGACTAGTGCTGATGCCTTGAGTTCTTTATCAGAGTAGGTATTTGAAACTTCCTAAGGTCTTAAGTCTGAGAGTAAGAGCCAGAGCTGATGTACCAGAAAACATTAGATGAAGTGGTGAAGACTTTTTACTATATAAATCTATGGAGCCACAAAAAGGAATATTTTCTCTAATTTTGTGGCTCTTTATTTCTCATGTAAATGCTACTCACCAACAAGGGAGGAGGAGCTTGCACAGGAAGTTGTATTTTAAGTAAAGGTACAGTTACAAGAAAAACTAATGATTTCCCTTAAAATAAGGGGCACTTAGATAGTGCAGTGACATTCTTGTGACACTAGCCTTTAATCTCTTGCCCAGAGTAAGGAGGGTCTGGTTCACTTGCTTTTTTAAACACGGGCTTGGAACACCATATATTTCTGATTAAGAAGGGGAAAAAATTAGTAAGTAATCCCAGGGCTCCAAGGAGCTATTCACAAGCCTAATGTTAAGATGTAATCTTCTGGTGATTACGTAATAGTTTCCCCTCTGCCCATTCCAGAGTGGATATGAGATACTACAGTCTGCATGCCTGGTCTTGACTGTTTAGTTCCAGGTGTGAGAGCACATTGCAGTTGCCTAGAGAAAGGCCAAGTGTACATGTCATTCTGGGAGAGACAGGTCCTAGTTCCAAGGATAGGCAATAGAAGGTGGTGTGCCATCCCACTCAGGGTTAGGCTCTAGGAGCTATGTGGGAGTTGGCAGACACAATTAACAAGCCTGAAATAACAATTACCTTGAGAGCCAGCACAAAATAAAAGGCAGGGGAGCAGTCCTCAAGTAGGAAAAGTAAAGTAACTGCAACAACAGCAGGACAAATCTAATCTCACATAAAAACACTGAAAACCCATCTGAGACCTGGACATGAAATCAACACGCCGATATTAAAGAACACAGACCACAAGAAACAAGAAGCTTGGAATCCTCCATGGAATAAAATCAGTGATTGGCTTTTCTGTGGAATATCTGCCAGCTCCTGCTGCACACAGTGGTCAGAAGGGGATTTCATAAGTGTTAGAGTGAGCATTTACACCTATCAAGATGAAGAGGAAAAAAAAGAGAAAAATCCAAGCACGCTGTTATTCTGTCCAGTGCAATCCATTGCAGCACTGACATGGCGGCCTACTGCCTTTTCAAATCCTGGCCACACCTGACTTCTAAATACATCTGAAAAAGCCTGATCCATCAGAGGATACACAGACAGATTCTGCAAGGTGATATCTAGAATAGTCCCAGACAGACAGATCCTGCATGCATAGCAAGTCTGACATGTCAGGTTCACAGCATATGCAATATTGTCTTGCTCAGAGAACTTCCACAGTAAGTACCGATCTGGCAGCACACCCCTTGAACATGCACATTTTATCTGTCCTTACAGAAAAGCCTGAGCTCTCCCAATACATTCTGCACATCCAGATAGACACCTATGGCAACGGAAATACAGGGAAATCCATGCCATGTATGCACTTCCTATGAGAAACTGCACTGACCATGTAATGATACAACACACCCTGTATCAAACAGGACATTCTGTACCACATGGGATCCCTGGCACTTTGTGACATTTATTTTTGTGACCACAGCACGCTGTGCTTACCCAGGAGAGTGCAGAGGTCAACATCAGTGTATGCACATGAATTTGGTGGACAGAAGACACTGTGTGATTACCTAATATTTAATTAGGTTGCAACAATAGCACTACTGCCCTTATCCTCACTATGCAAGCTCAGCTACAAAGCAACATGATGGCTGTACTGAAGCTTTGGGATATAATATCAGTAACCCCTGAGACATGACAATTATCCAGTCACCAATACTGTTCCCCACCAACACAAGGATAGTCTTGTAGAAAGTATATTTATAATCACAGCAAAATTAAAGTTGGGCAAGATATTTTGAAGGTCACTGTTTCAACCTCCTGCTCTCTCCACAGCTATCTTCAATGATTGATAAACTAAGTTGCTCAAAGTCTTTTCCTCTCTAGTTTTGTTTCCAAGGATGGAAAAATCCACAGCCACTCAGGGAAAATGCTACTTGACCACTCTCACTTTGAACTTTTGTTTTCTTACACACAATTGGAATATCTCTGGCTGCAGCTTCTCACTTTTATCTCTCATCCTGTTGGTGACTATCTCAGAGAGAAGCCTTGTGCCATCTTCCCTATAATTCTCTTTGGGAAGGTGCACATTGTAATTAGATCCTGCTGTGGCCAAACCCACTTCCTCACACAGCAAGTGCTTCAGCCCCTTACAGCCTCAGCAGCCTCTGCCGAACTGGCTGTTCCCAAACTAGACAGTGTGTATGCAGTGTGGCCTCACCAGTGCTGCACACAGAGCTCCTGTCTGCTGGCTATATGGAGAACGCAGCCCTGCAGGTGTTGAAATCCCATGAGGAATTTCTTTTGTCCACCAGGATGGCCAGGCCCTTTTCCGCTGGGCTACTTCCAAGCCAGCTGGTTCTCAGCCTGTAGCATCCTGCAGCCTGTCCCACATTCAGGACTTTGCCCTTGTCTCTGTTGACCAACTCGAGGTTCTCACTGGCCCTCTCCTGCAGCTTGGCAAGCCTGCTCTGACTGGTGGCCTCCTGTGCATCCCCAGCTTGGCAAGGGGAGCAGCTGAAAACTTGCTGAGGGTGCACTCTGTACCACCCCTGCACGGTGACCTTGTCAAACAAGACTCGCTCCAGTATTGATCCCTGACCCCTCCTAATGGGGCATCAGACAAGACTTCAAACCAATGACACACAAGCCTGGGGGTACAGCCAGTTTTCCACACCCAGGGTCTGCCCACCTCACCCACATCTCCACAGTTATAAGGTTATTGAGAAGTCCAGCAAAAGCCCTCACAAAGACAAGCTTGAACGACATCCTCTGCTTCCCCTGTACTCACTAAGCCCAAAGTCAGTGACACTGGGTCAGACACAACTGAACTAAAACATGTAACATTAGCCTTTGTTCAGTCACCTGCAGTCTTTAAATGCCACAGACTTTCCAATGTCACAGGGTGTGAGCACAAAAATTAACTGGCCAGCTCTCAACACTCAAATAAGTGTTGATCATGTGGTCCAGTGGACTTGTATATGCCCACTGTGACAGAGTGGATATTCTGTGGGGAATTTCCCTCCTCTGCCCAAACCCTGCCATCAGCCACAGGAGATTGGGAGATGGGAAAGGGCTTTTTCCCAGCAAAGCCCAAGATGAAAGAGGTCTCTTCTTTTTCCTTGACCTTTATGGCCAGTTTAATCACCCAGTCCTGCAGCAGGCCCACATATTCACTTGTCTTCCTTTTGCTGCCAAATCACCTGTAGAAGCTCTTTATGTTGCCCTTCACGTCCTTCAGTTGCAATTCCAGCCAAGTTTTGGCTTTCCATATTCCACTCCTCCACTAAAATACCGACCATCCTCCTCTGCATGAAGTGATGAAGAATCTCACACCAGTGTAATATGCTTACTATCTGCTGAATGATTTCTAAAAATGCTGTTTAAGGAAGGTGCTTATCTTTCATCCTTATCTCATTTTTTGGAAGTGGCAAGCATATCCAGGTGCCTGTTCAAGCACTTATTTAGCTGGTACTGTGGAAAATGTGATTGTTCTAAATTATTCTTTCTTCCTTTGTTCTTTGTTGTTAGTTGGTTTGTTTCCAGTAACCTCAAATTTGATGCAGAAGAAAAGGGAAAGTATACACACCTGATAGGGAATCAAACAATTAACTACCTTCAGCATTCAGCTTTGACTGCTAATCCATCTCTCGAGGATTTTCTCCAATATTTTGTAGTATTACAGCTCTGCCGAAGCAGCCTCACATGGTTATTATCAAATAACCCAGGCCCTTAATGAGAGTTCCTTCCTATTATTCAGATCTGGACTATGTGCTCCATCCTCCTCTAAAACAAAATGGTGGGGAAAAAAAGTAAAAAAAAAAAAAAGACCTAAATTAGCCAAAGTTTATTAGTTCTAGCCAGCTCATAAACAATAAATTTAATGGTTGTTTTTTCTGACTCTCCAGACCAAGAAAATGGAAGTGTTTCTTGCTTCTCAAGCATCTGTATTTAGTCTGGAATGTCCCAATTCTTACACTTAAGAGTAATATTAGTTAAAAATATTCTACACTGGTAATTTCATTTATTGTTTTTGACAGGGAGTGATTGGTCTCTTTGGTTTTCTAAACTATCACAATAAATAAGAAGTATTTCTGCAACATTTTTTCTATTAGAGATGTGGAACTATACAATAGGTAGTTGTCTGAAATACAATATAGTCAGAATTTTACATATTCTGCACACTTATGTATTGAAACTCTGCTTCAGTAACATGGCTGGTACTACAACTGTATTTAAGGTTGCCAAAATTTCTCTTCAAAATTCATCTTCTGGGTGTTTATAAGTTTGTCATTTTTTATAGCTGAATTGGGGCATTAATTCTCTACTTTTGGGAAACTTTAAAGATGCCTGAATAGGATGAACTCATACTTCTGTTATTGTAATAGAGTCATCTGTCACAAGTGAGACATGTTTTGTATTTACCAGTAGATTCTCTAATTGCTCAAAAAGCTGCACACTTATTGGGTTTATTAAATTTGCCCTCTCTCATTTGGCTGCAGAATAGAATCAGATCCAAATCAGGGCTTAGCTGATGAAAAACTGACAAAGCATGGTGCCATTACCCCTTTCACAATTCTCTTTTTCCTGTGACTGTGCCAGACCCAGACCTGTCTTCCAAGATCCCCTCCTGGTGACTAGAGCAAGTCTAGGAGAAGTAAAAACCACCTCTGCAACTAGGAAAGGCGTAGGTGACAAAGGACAACAGGAACAGATGGTGGGAAGGGGTTTTTACCATCCCTTTCCCCTGGGCACTGAGGCACAGGGCAGGAAAGTGATGAGCAACTTTACCTTCGTGAAAACCTAGTCTTGATCTTTAAAGTTCACTTTTAGGTGCCTTCACAGGGTCTGTGCTGCTCTCTGCAACTGTTCCTGTCATCTTTACCCAAGTCTTTGAATTATGGATGCAGTGATGGCATCTGGGGAAGACCAAGAAAGAAGTCAAGAATGCTGAAAACACAGAACAATGGAAATGAGAGTATATTTAGCAGTGAAGTGACTAAAACACAAGCCTTGTGTTCTCCAGCAATGGTTGGTGAGCTAAAAACACAAAATCAACATTCCCCTCTCTGCAAGACTGATGTTGAATTTAACCCTACAGCCACACCTGGGCAAAGGTCAGGGACGAAGCCCTTTCCAACCTCTCCCTCTGATGTAAGAGTGCTTTAGCTGTTATCAGCCAAATATCTTCTGCAGCCTCCAAACAGGGCCAAGGTATCTACTTCAGCTGGCCAGGCTTCCATGAGGTCTCATCTCCTTCTCTGGTTTCACTCCTTTCATGCATTTTGTCCCTCCATGGAGTTCTCCACTGGTCTTGGGCCTGTGGTTTCCCTCAGCTGGACTTTTCCAAAGTTCCACTCAAAACAAAGCACTGTTGTTCAAACTTACTAGTTTAACCTAAGCCAGTACTCCTAAAACCTCAGCTTCTGAAGGGGAAGATGTTTAGACATTAACCTCAGCTTTCAATGAGGAAAAAAGAGTTTTGTTATTTCCCTTTGGGTTTTGGAGAAAAGTTCGAGCATACCAAAGATAAAAATTCTAGGCTCTAAACCAAATAACATAAAACATATTATTTCAAGATGCTATTTTTAAAGACCAAGATTTCACTCATCTCATGACTTTTGACCAGAGGTTTGGCTCAGGATTTGAGTTTGCCTTCCACCACACAGGAGGGTTAGCAGAGAGAGACCACAGGGCAGAGACGGGGACCCTTAAAATTCCCACAGTCTTCTGACAGCCTGTCCTGACAAATGTGCCCCAACTCTCAACATTCCTGTGAGATCTACAGCAAAACTGCTGTAGATTTCCCCCCTTTTTCCATGCCCATGCATGCAGTGACTACAAGAGACAAGACCGTCAGCAGGTCTCAAACCTTCCAGTGACCAACCTGTGCAACACCAGGATGCGACTTCACCTTCCTTTTTTACAAACCCCCAAATGCAGAATCATAGGATCATGGTTAGAAGGGACCTTAAAGACCATCTCATTCCAAACACCCCTGCCATGGGATGGGACACCTTCCACTGGACCAGCTCGCTCAAAGCCCATCCAACCTGCCTTTGAACACCACCAGGGCCGGGGCACCCAAACCTCCCTGTGCAACCTGCTCCAGTGTCTCATCACTCTCACATAAAAGCATTTCTTCCACACACCCAACCTAATTTCCCCCTCTTTCATTTTGCACCCATTTCTCCCCGTCCAAACTGCATCAGGAAACCACCTGAGGCCGGAAATCACCCGGTCACCTGCACGGTGTCCCAGGGACGGCCGGTCCCACCGGGACACGTCGGGGCAGCGGGCACCCACCGCACCTCCTGCGGGACCACCCTCGCCCCTCTCGCAGCCCAAGCGCGGGCACACACCGGGCACATGCCCGGGACCCCCGGGGGCCCCTCGGGCACGACGCCCAGGGCCCCCTCAGGCGCCGCGCGCTGCCGTTGGGGCGTCCCCGTCCCCGCCGGGGGCCGCCCCGCCACCGCCCCCCGGCAGCCGTGGGGCCGTGCCCACCGCGGCCCCGGGCGGCGGAAGTGTGTGTAGGGGGCAGTGCAGGAATTTCCTGTGACGTCCCGGCCCGGACTCCATTAGGTGCAGCTGGGCTGAGAGGAGACAAACCCGGCGGGCAGCGAGCGGAGCGGGCCGGGCGCCTGGGGCTGCCGGGCGGGGGCTCAGGGCAGCGGCGGCCGCCATCGCCAGAGGGAGCCCCGAGCGGGCGGCGGCGCTGCCTCCGGGACCCCCGGCGGGCGCAGA